TTCAATAGCTCTGATTTCCATTTGCGTGCTGTTATGCGTTAATCCTCATAATTGAAATATTCGAAAACGTTTTCCATTTTAACGGGCTGCGTATAATTTTTCAAATTGGCTCTCTATGAAATCTCGTCCATTTTCGCTGTTAGTATGGTGTCGATAATGATTTCAGTTCGTTGGCGATCGACATCTAATTGACGCTTCGCGTAGCACTTGTAATTATTAATGTAAATGTGCAATGTTTACATGTTCAATATACATCGGAATTTCGTATTGGTTAATTATGTGTTAAACAAAAATTGATGTGTGGTTCTAGGAATCGCTCGTCAAGTTCAGTCAAGTTGATATTGTTGGGTGTTGTTTCCTAGTTATCTGGCTATCACTTACACAGCAATTCAGGATTATAGAAATTTGAAACTCTTTACTAATATTTATTTTAGTTTATTAATTTTGTTTAATCCCAGAAAATTTTTCAGGTCAGTTTGAAAACAATTATTTTGCATAATTTTATATTGTAATGGTCAAATGCTATTGGTGGTTAGCACCTTTGCAAGTTAATTGCTGAACCATCAAGCAGTTGTGATATAAATTGATTGCAATTTTAATAGAAGTTGAAGCGAAGACGGGCACTAGTGTATTGAATAGATAACACTAATGCCAGTATGCATAGTCGATGTTTGGCACTTTGCCGAATATTCTTTCGGCGGATGGCCAAGCGAGTGGATGGCGACGGGTTTTTGATGCAGAATTGTTCTTCTTACCACTTTCGGCGCTGGCGTTTCTCCCATGGAATGAGCATGCGCAATATCACTGTTCTGGTGACCCGCGTCATCCAAAGCGTTAGCTCATGGAATTGTTTTAATAATCGGCGCCGGGATGCCGACAAAGCTAGAAAAAATGAGCGCTTACATTGCATCTAGTTGCCTCAAAGGATATTGTATAAATTCCAAAAAACAATTTTTTTAAGAAGGCATATTAACTGCTACAGACGTTATAAACGATGAAAAAATTCCCCAATTTATTCCAAAACTTCTTTTCCAAGCAATAAAAAAATGTAATGCAATAATAACTTTGTTTATTATTAGGTATTAAGTATTACTATTATTTCAATAACACATCATACATAGGTGATAAAAAAATTATAATAAATATCTTTAATTATAAGCTTAGCTGCCGTCATTAAGCCCCTCCTACAACAAGCGTGTAATAATAAGGTTGTTTGCTGATGATGTCATTGTTTGCAAGCACCTACATATTGCGAAACGGCCAAGTCAATTTCCTGGTTAGGGCTTCAGCTTATTGCTTTTTCGTCGATTAATACTAATATGTGAAATCAAATTCGAATACGGAATCATATCAATAATTTCAACAGCGTATTATTGTTGTGGTAAGTAGTAATTAATAGTTATCCGTTCTGCGTAGTGACAATTTCCAAATGATGATTGTTAGGTGAACGAGCCAACCATCTAAAAAATGTACGCATAATATCCCGGGTCACTGAAGACATAACATCTAATTAATGGGAAACCTGAGGTCAGATCAGGACCATTAAATATTGTTTTGTTTGATTTTGGAACGGATCTCTCGTTTCGGATCGCACCATGCATTGACTATGGTCCCAGATTTCAGGGGGTCGATTGAATAGTCTCGTGTCCCAGAGTGGGACACGAGACCTGTTCAATCTGATTGCCGTTAATCAAAATTGTTTCCGCAGTGGGTCTCTTGGAGTAGACTAGCAGTTTGAACTTTGATATATTCATGTCCAAACCATAATGTAACCTCAATATATTCAGTTATTCTATTCATCATCTTTTGTAGTTCTGATATGTTATCAGCAAGGACTACGGTGTCGTCGGCGGATCTGATATTGATGATTTTGATACCCCTTTGACCTCCGCTAAAGC